TCTCTCTCTCTCTCTCTCTCTCTCTGTGTGTGTCTCTGTGCCTGTCTGTCTCTCCTCTCTCTCTCATCCCCCTCGCCCCCCCCCACACACACAAACACACAAGAAAAAGAAGAAGAAGAAGACGAAGCCAATGGCGGACTTACGGGAGCTGGCCGACGGGCAGCGGGCGGGCGGGGCAGGGCGGCACTTCGAAATCGCGCGGGCAAAGTCCATCACCCCCCGCGATTTCCCAGCCATTGATCTTGAAGATCAACGGGCACAGCGGGGGCGAGTGTTCCGAAGGCCTGTTAGGCCGGGAAAGTTGCTGCACATTTTTTGTTTTCGGTGCCAGGGGGTCGGCTACCGTCCGCAGGCTCGTAGGCGGCCCCCAAGCCCGAAATCAAGCGTTTCCGGGTTTTTTTTTTTTGGCGCATCTATCGCCCGGGAGCTCAACCGGGCCTCGTGACCGGCCGGGCGGCCAGGCACCGATCCGGGCGTGAGTTTGGGACCTGGTCGCCCGGGAAATCTCCCTAGCCAAAATGAGCATTTTTGTTTGTTGTTTTGTAGGGTATTTAGAATTTTTTTTTTTTTTATGTCATCACGATGTGGGGCTTGAGGCAACTATACCTGGGTGAGTCCGAAGAAAAAAAAAAACACCACTCTTTCCGAGTCTTTCGTGGTCTGGCCGTTCACAGGCGCAGGGCCAAATGACCGGCCGGTCTTGTTCAAGTGACCGGTGCCGGTCACGTTAACAGGCACAGGGCCATTTTTTTTTTTTTTGGGCAGGGCGGGGCAGGCTCTCACTGCGCACCCCCAAGTATTTCTTATTAATTTATTAATTTATTTTATTTATTTATTTATGTATTTATTTATTCTATTTTTTCCGGGTTTCTGGACGCAGGGTTCGAGGTGACCACCCCCGGACCCCTGGGGCCATGTCCCACTGCACGATGGTTTAGTTTCGTCGGGAGATATCTCACAGTGTGCGACTTCGCTGAGAACCGCAGATGTAGATGTGATCGCAGAGTAAAGAGAATTTAGGACGTTTTTTAGTTAAAAAATAATAAATGATATAGGAGAAGCCGTTTTTTCATTGGTGGACTCCTTACTCGAATCAGTTAAGGGGGCTTTCGACGGTTTTAGGTCTGTGACATGGTCTGAATAATGTCTGGAATGGGGAGCGGTTTCAAGGGCGATTTTAAGTTTGTGGGTATTGAAAGAAATGAAAATTGTGTTTTGGCGCGGACGGAGAATAAAATTTCGTTGTGTTGCACAAGGGTTCGAGCTCACGACGGGCCGTTCGTAAACGGTAGTGGGGTGTGGAGTTGGAGGTGGCAGTCTCAGAATAGTTGAGGACGTCGGAACAGATGCATCTATTGATTAGTCCTGTGAATGTCACGCTTGGCAGACACATGATTGCCATTGTTTCTGTGAATGTCTGAGTGCGTGGTGGTGCTGTGGGGAAGGTGACATCAAGGATGGCCATGATGGTGACCGTGCAAAGAACACTCAAGCACGGTCTACACAGTCGGTTAACTGTGTGCGTGCGTCTGTGTGTGTCGCGTGCTCTCATCGCACTCTCTGATGCCACTGTTGGTCACGAAGTGTGAAGTGCCCTGTTTAGTCTTCCTGAACGGCTATGTCTGTCCTGCTTTCTTGCCGTTGATTGCTCTCTCTCTCTCTCTCTCTCTCTCTCTCTCTCTCTCTCTCTCTCTCTCTCTCTCTCTCT